AGCCGTCTGACGTCCTGATGACGGACGAACCGATGCAAATGATGATGGCGGCCATGATCGCCCACAGCCCTGGCTTGTTCAGCAGCGCAACGTGCTGCACCTTGTGCACACCGGTGGCCTGGTTGACGCGACTCTTTTGAGCCTGCGGGGAAGCGCAAGGGAGCATGTCTCTACTCGCGGCGGTAACAGGCGTCATACGGCCAGGGGGAAACATCACGTACCGCCCCCACCCCCCCAGCGTGTGTGTCCAGACCACAGACTGTGATGCCGGACGCGCTGCGACACTGCCGGGGACGCACTGGGGGGAGAGCTTTACGCAAAAGGAGGGGGGAGGGGAGAGATTCGGTCTCTAGATGAGCAGAGCGACACTTACAACCGAAATGGGACACTTTACAACCAGCAAAGGATCAAATCCAAGACGGGGCTCTTTACAACCAGAACGGCCACGTTACAACCAGCGCTCAGGAGCCTCTGAACGCTCTGCAGAGGCTTCTGAGGTTCTGAGCCTCAGACCCACAACCCAGGCACAGTGGCGGGATGGGCTGAAGGCCACTCGGATAACGCCGACGTTTCAATATGCGCTGATGACTCGTATCCGCCCCCGCATGCTGTTCCCAGATGCGCCAAGGCAGCGCCGAAACGCACCGACGCGACTCTGATGTATCCCATTATGATAGAGAGAAGGCTAACGGCAGGGGGCGAAGCCCTTACGGATAGACACAAATCGCAGGATTTCCCCAATAGTTTCTATATCTCCTGGATTTCCATCTTCCCCTCCACATCCGACATACTCTGCAATGTTTTGGGAATCGACGATTACTTTGTCTGTGTTTGTTCCTCTCCTTGCATTCCTAGGCCTGCCTGACGGACCTCTTCCAGGGGGCGGGCGCTCTAGCCAGAATGTTAAGGAGAACCCCGCGACGGCGACGAAGGCCCTTTATTGGGGTGTTTGTTCCATGGGAGCCCGTCTTGTTTCTGAGAGCGAGAGGGGAGGAGTAAGGAGGAGGAGGAGGAGGAGGAGGAGGAGGAGGAAAAGAGGAAAAGAGGAGGAAAGAGAAGGAGGAGAAGGAGGAGGAGGAGCAGGAAAAAGGGAGGGGGAGGAGGAGGAGGAGAAGCAGGAAAAAGGGAGGGGGAGGAGGAGGAGGAGGAGGAGGTGGAGGAGCATGAGGAGGAGGAGGAGGAGGAGGAAGAGGAGGAGGAGGAGGAGGACGGGGAGGAGGAGGTTGCACTGCCCATAGAGGGAGAGAAGAGAAGGACAGAGAAAGAGAGGGTCCGCCTCCGACGGCCGCGCAGCGCCAGTGCCGCGGAGCAGGGGGGAGGGCGAGGGGCGGGGGCCGCCGCCAGCTCGCGACGAGCCGCGGGCTCGGCCGGCTGCCGCACGACGCTCTCGCACTCCACCGCGAGTTGCCCGCAGCACGGCGCTCGGCCGAAGGCCTTTACCACGCCCGCCCTCTCGGAGTCCAGAGTCCACGGCTCAGCCCGAGCAGCCTCGGACTGCTCGTACGTCAGGACCGCTCCCCGGCCCCAGGATGTGGACCGATGCGATCCACCTCACATCCAGGCGTCGAATCCTCGAAAGCACCTGGACTGTCATCCGCCGAAGCGTCATGGGCACCATCTCCATACCAATGCTCCGTCGCTACCTTGCCCTCGAAGCAAGCGGACACGACTCCACGGGGCCCCGCGGCAGGCGGAGCGGGAGGCGGCTCCTGCTGCACCAGTTGCGCCGCAGGCGGCAGGCCAGCAGGCACGCCTCCACCCTCAGCATACGCCGTGCCGGGGGGTGGGTGGGCCCCGCACGCGGGATCGGTAGCAACAACGCCTGCAGCAGCACGTAGACCTGCTCGCTGGCAGACCGCCACATGACGCCGTTGGCGAGAGCACCCGGCACGAACTCGGAAGCGGCCAGGTTGCAGGCCGTCGGCCCCGCCGCGGGCCGCTCGACATCCAGGCTGCAAACCTTCACTGGCGCCTCGGCGTGGCACACCTCGACGATGCACTCCAACCCGGCCACTTGGCTCCACGCCTCAAGGACGGCCCGCCAGCCAGGGCGATGCTGCCGATGCCCTCAGCCATCGAATGGAGCGCCACGTTCCTCCGCAGGCGGCGCAAACCCGAGGCCCTGCGGCCATTGACCAAGTCGCTCGGCGCGGAGATCAGCGCCAGGACCGGGCCGCCGATGTCGCCGTCCGCGATGGCCAACGCAAGTGAGGAACCGAACTCCATGCACCGACGCTTTTTCCGGCCCCGCACCGAAATTCGCACAGGAAAGCGGATCCCAGTTTATATATGATCCTGGTGTATGCATTCTTCGTCGTTTTCCCGGGACAAGCAAGGAAACATAGACACCACACCACCCCGACGTCGTCCCCAGTCCTCAAAAAGTTCGGGGATTGAAAACAGCCCGCCACTGTACTGTGTATGCTCCAGCTTCCGAGCAAAAGCGCCCTGCAGGTACTGGCACTCCTTCCGCGCCTCCTCGAGCTCATCCGAGAGGCGCTCGACCAGCTTGTCGGCGGCAGCCCGCGCTGCAAGGGAGCGCCTCGCAGAGGCCCTCCCCCGAAGGCGGCCCTGCCGAGGCGCGACCCGCGGCCAGGCCGCTCTGGACCTCCATCAGCCGCGCCGCCTCGGGGCCGCCAGCGAAGAGCCGCCGGCCATGGGCGAAGGGCCGCCAAGAAATCGGGGGATCGGGGCAACGCGGCCTTGAGCCAAAATGGCTGCGGAGGAGGAGGAGGAGGAAAAGAGGCAGGAGGAGGAGGAGGAGGAGGAGAAGGGAGGAGGAGGAGGAGGAGGAGGAGGAGGAGGAGGAGGAGGAGGAGGAGGAGGAGGAGGAGGAGGAGGAGGAGGGGGAGGAGGCTGGTCCAGGCTGGCGTGTGCCTCATCCACGAGACGATGAGGCATCTTTCCAAGCCTCGAGTTGGTGCCAGACGCCCTTGGCCACCAACTGACCCGCGTCGACAAAAAAGGTAGGCATCAGTGCACCCTCTGCGGAGAGACAGGCAGTAGGGTAGGCATTTGCAAGAATCCGTGCCGAGGCATCCCCAGGGTCGCAAGGACGGCCCACCCGACCCATCGTCTGTTTTTTGGGGAGGGGGGGGGCCGCACCGTTTGGTGTGCTCGGTGCGGGGCCTTCGGGGCCTCACGATCCCAGTATCTTGAGAGGATGTGTCTCGAGAGGCCACATAATCGTGATGCTGCCACGAGTTTGAAGAAACTCCGTGGCGGTGTCGACCCAAGCACGGGCCGAGAGTTCGGCCGCAGTATCTCACTTTCTGGTTTGTGAGTGTCGCTGCTGCCGCCTGTTGGGACGTGTCGTGTCGCGTTGCCGCCTTCCACGACAGCAACTTCAGCGACTTCCCAGCAGGCGCGCCGCACTTCCTGTGTGTGGCATGTTGTGCTGTCGGTGCGGGATGCTTCATGATACGCCGAAGGACGCCGAAGGACGCCGAAGGAGGAGGAGGAGGAGGAGGAGGAGGAGGAGGAGCGCGCGACCACATGATCTCAACTCGGTGGGGCTGACGTCACAGTGCGAATCTAAAGGTCGCCAAGCACACCGAGAACTCCACGCGAGCCGAGTCTGTTCTATGGGAGCCCCCGGCACTGTCCGATTTGGGCCTGCTTTGGACTGGATTTGGAACACATCTGGAACCGGATCTGGACCGCCTCTGGACCTGACTCGCCCCTTCACCAGGGAGACAAGCAGAACGAGGAGGGGGAGGAGGAGCAGCAAGGTGGTGCTGGTGGTGCTCAGTTGGGGGCCATCAGTCTGTCTCCTCTCAGCTGATCTCTGGCCCCTCCGTCAAACATGGAGGCTGGGCCGCCTGCGCTGGCTGCAGGCCGCCACGGCATGGGGCGACGCGGCGGAGCAAGGTCCGCGCGCGATGCCCCGTCGGCGGGGAAGATCCCTCGGTCCAAATGCCAGAAACGCTGGTCTTAGTGTGCCCGCCCGCAGCCACCGTGAACAGACATCGAACCTCCAGGACGAGCGTCGGTACCTCCTCCTCCCCCTGAGCCCCTGCGCGGCGTTCGGCTCGTGACGTCCTACCTCCGGCCTGCAGCGACCGTTCGGGACGATCCAGGCACCCTTGCAGCGCGCTCTCGGCGAGGCGCAGCTGCTGGAAGGCAGCCCGAGGCCGGAAAACCGCCGAGAGCCCTCCCAAACGCCTGAAGCCCTCGAATAGCGGGCCACGTGCGAGCCCTACCCCTGCCCCCCAGGAGTTCTCAGGGGGAGGGTGGGGTTCGCATATGCTCCCCTATCGAGCCCCGAAGCCTCCGCCAGCGGCCGCTCCCGCGGGTCGTCCCTCGGGGGGTACCGCTGCGGGTACACCACGCCCGGGGGCCGGGTGAGGTCCAGCTCGGCGTGCGGCTGCGCCTGAGCAGCGCCGGAGCCGATCCCCCCACAGGTCCAACGAAGGAAAGAGCTGCCATGCGCCGGAGCGCGTGGGCAGAAGACAGTGCCAGCCTCATCTCGCCGCTTTGGGGGAGCGGCTGCACGTCATACAGCAGACAGACAGACAGACGGACAGACAGACAGACAGACAGACGGACAGACAGACTGACAGACAGACAGACAGACAGACAGACAGACAGACAGACAGACAGACGGACGGACGGACGTCCTTCGCAGTTTTTGGCCTCCAGGGGCCCTCGCAGGGCCTCAGGACGGTTCAAGAACGGCTCAGGAGGAATAGCCGTTCTTCGCAGCTCTTGGCCTCCAGGGGCCCTCACTGGGCCCCGGGACCGTTCGAAAACGACTCGGGAGGCACAGCCGGTCCCGGGGAAGGGGTCGAGCCTTACGGGCCTGCTCCTGCGGGCTTCGTGGAGCCCATCCCCACCTGGGAGGGCAGGCCGGCGGGCCCGAGATGCGCATTCGCCTGCGGAGGTGGGGGTCCGTCCGGGGGGGTCGGAGTCAGCGAGGGGCCAACCGAGGACAGAGCATGTCCTGACAAGAACGTAGAGTCAGCGGAAGGGCCAACCAAGGACAGAACGTGTCCTGACAGAAACGCTGGCCCAGGCGAAGAACTCCCCAAGGAATGATCCAAGAAACACCCATGAAGAAATGCGTCTTGGAGCAGATACGGCCCCGTACAAGGAACATCCAAACAAGTGAGCTTATACCTTCTCCTGATCCCCGCAAGACCGACCCCCAGTAGCAGGCGAATGAGATACCATGGCCCAGTGGGGATGGGGATGCATTTCGGGGACTCCAAAATGATAAACATAACGTTCAGGGGTCCAGCGCCGATCCGAGAAATCCGCGCGGACCTCCGAAAGTTTCTGTTTACGCCAGGTCGGGTCGTGCCGACTTCGACATTGGTTTCTGACACTGCGGGGATCGTTCAACCTTGAACGATCGGCAGTTCCTGAAATGTCAGGTCGTTCAGCATCGACCGATTCTGGGTCGCTGGCGGCGTTCAACGCTGAACACTGGCGGCGGGGCCTCCGCCAGTCGACACGACGCGAACCGACCGTACCATGGCTGCGTCCTGACCAGGATCTCGAGGCGAATCCAGCGGTAGCGACGAGGGCCACCTAGGAGGCCCAAAAGGGCGAAAACTAGGAGCGGGCAACGGTATTGGTACCTCTTCCTCCCCAGAGATCCAATGTCTTGATTTTTTCAGCACGGGCTCCCCGGGAAGCTCGACCCGCTCCCCAGGACTGGTTGTTCCTCCTGCGTTGTTTTTTTTTTGCGGTCCCGGGGCCCAGTGAGGGCCCCCAGAGGCCGAAAACTGCAAGAAACGGCCGTCTTGATTTTTTCCATTACTTGAGGCGTGGAAATGAGCACCAGCACCACAACAAGGGGTTGCCTCCACGGGGGCAAGATGGTCCTAGATGTTGGTGTTGGTGGTAATCCTTCGCTCACCCAGGAAGTCCGAACATTACCACCATCACCGAGATCGGGATCATCTTCACTCGGTGGAGGCACGCCGCCGATATTGGTGCTGACGCTAACCTCTATAGGTCTGCGATGCAATACGTTGGCTCTCTGGGTCCGAGGGGTGGGGGCAGCTTCGACGACGCTGCGCGCCAGGGCCCGCAGCGGCGAGCCCTGGACGACCGCCTCCGGCAGGGCCCCGGCGCGAGGGAGCAGGCAGGCCGCCAGGCAGCAGGCAGCAGGCGCGAGGCCGCGGGGCCGCGGCGCCGCCGGAGCGCCCATGTGTGCGGCGGCGGAGAGGCGGCCGCCGTCGTTGTGGGGGCCTCTCCGGCCTCCGTGGTCGATGGGCCCACCCCCGAAGGGCCAGAGGGGGGGGGCAGGATCCGCCAGCATGGGGTCGGGAGACATCGGATCGCATCGGAAGGTGCGGCGGATCGGGCCGCATCGGCACGGAGCCGGAGTCCCTGCGGATCGGCTGCGCCAGGGATGCATCGATGACGGCGCGGTGCAAGCATCGGGCCGCATCGAAGCGCTGGAAAGATCGAAGCAGAATCGGGTCGAGGCAGAATCGGATCGAGATCTGGGGACGTCAACTTGTCCACCTCTGCAGTCGTGGCCTGGCCGACCCTGGACCCATGATCAGGGCGTGTGTAGATGCATCCCCGGCCAAGCAAGGACGTACACTGACTCTCAGCCCAGGGATTGGCCAGAACCAGTGAGGTGGACAATTGATGTCCCGCGACTCCCACGGCTGCTCACAAGCTAGCTGTAAGCCATACCGGTCGCATCGCTGGCATAATCAAACCGACCGATCGGAACGAACCCGAGAACCTAAGAGCCCAGGAGCACAGAATCGGGAACCCAGTGGCCCAGAGCCGAAGGAGCTGAATCTCGGGAGCCTCGCCGCCTTCCGAGATCGGCGGCGAATGGTCGCCAAACTCTTGCAATATCCGCGATGAGCCAGAAGCCCGAACTGCCAAACCAAGAACTGCTGGCACGCTCGGAATGTGTGCGGAAAAATGGGCACGATGCCCAACAGCAAGCGCTATCCAAAGCCGACAGCGGCCGCTGTTGGGCAAGCGAGTTGATGTCTGAGATGGACAAAATCCGCGGCAACACCCATGGCGAGATCTACGTTCTTTCCGCACCCATGTTGATCGCACCGAAAATGGGAACCCAGGAACCATGCCGCCTACCGAAACTGGCGGCGCACTTGCGCCAAACGTTTGAAGCTTTCTATCAGACCCCTTCAAATCGAGCGCTGGCTGGGGGAGCAAGGGACAATGAAAGTCGCCTTGTCATTTGCCTTTTTTCTCATGATTGTCTTCACGCGGGGGGTCCATTTGTTCGCTTCTTGGCTCATTGCCCCTCAGTAGGGGATCCACTGACCTGGGTCAATCCAGACCCGGGTCAGTCAGGCTTTGCAGGATCCTGCAGGATCCTGCGCCAACCCGGGTCAGTGCACCCCTGGCCCTGCAGGATCCTGCAAGATCTGGCGCTCTGGCTGACCCCTGTTTGCACTGACCCCCGTCTCTTGAGCCCCGACTCAGAGTGGCCAAGCGACCACCGGTCTTAACACATGAACGGCATATGGAGCTACCTTCTGAATCTGGTGGTGGCGGGATCACTCGACGTGGTCCCGCCCTTGAGCCGCGAAGGGTGGAAGGGGCGAAAGGAGCGGAGGCAATGCAGCAGCAGCGGCAGACAGGGAAAGGGAAGCAGGATGGGCCGAGCGTAGAGACAAGGACCCAGGGACAGACACAAATACAGAGACACAAATCCTAGGATTCCACTACTTGTTCGTATTTTCTGGGTTTTCGTCATCCCCCGCACTTCCCATATTTTCCTATTTCCTGGGAGTCGACGATTAATTGTGTCTGTGTGTGGCTTTCCCCTCCTGAGTAGAGGAGGAGGAGGAGGAGGAGGAGGAGGAGGAGGAGGAGGAGGAGGAGGAGGAGGAGGAGGAGGGAAGCCGAGCGCAAAGATGGAGGAGGAGGACGAGAGGGTAAAACCGCGGGCGCAGTGGAGGACTCTGAGGCACAGAACCCGCGCGATGGCGGACCTCACGAGGCCAGCTCGGGTGTGGGAGCGCAGGTGAACCTCAGCGGATGGAGATCTTCTGGTTTTCCGCTGCGCGCGACGCTAGACTGAGGTGGTAGGGACGCCAGGCTCGCCCGACTGTGCGCAGAAGGTCGCTCTCGCCGGCGCAGCGCACTCCGAGGGCTCCACGAGGCCAGGCGGTCGACGTGACGATCGTGGGGTCGCTGGCCGCACGAGGTAGGGCCACACGCCGGAGCACCCTGGGGCACACGATCTGGTGCCGGAAGCCGTGCACCCATGGTGACTTTGGGCCACGCACGTGCGCTGCAACGCTGGCGCGGCGCCATAAGCTCCACCTCGGCGCAGCCCTGCCGCGGGGGGGGCGCTTTTCGAGCAACTCGGGAAATTGCAGAAGCATAAGATTTCGGAGGTCCGCGCGGAGCGCGCCAGGGGCGGCGCCGTTGGCGCCACAAGGGGGTTCAGCGCCGATCCAAGAAATCCGCGCGGACCTCCGAAAGTTTATGTTTATAGCGTTACTCGAACCACGCGCGCTTCACGCGCGCTCAGGTTCTAGCGCATGCCAGGGCGCTGTCACGACACAAAGAACTAATGCTGCGATACCTTGCGGAGCTGACGCCAGCCTGCGCTACCTGCGCGTGAATTTCGGACCTGCTCGCTCCAGAAATTCCCTTACAGCGTCCTCCAAAGTTTCTTGTACATCTGTTTGTGCATCCATCTATACGAGAAAACGCGTTTCACGGGCGCTCGCCTTGGGAACATTCGGCGGCGCGTTTCGAACCCGGGGGTTGGGCCACCCCCCAACATTCGGCGGCGTCGATCAAAACCAGGGTGACTCCCCTCCCCATCCCCCCCCCCCTCCCGAACCCCTCCCGCCGGCGCCGGCGCCGGCGGCCGCCAGCAGCGCCGACAGCTGGGACGCAGCGACGATGACCAGAGGCAGTCCAAAGGGGGGGGTTCAACCCCCCCCCCCTTGGCACCGAGGGTGGGGGGGGGGTTCAAACCCCCCCCCCGCCTGGCGCCTGCGGCCGGAGCCGGCGCCGGCGCTGGCGGCGGCCAGCAGCGCCAGCGCTAGCGCCGGCGACGGCGGGGACGCAGCGACGATAACCACCAATACCATCACCATCACCATCACCACTACCACCACCACCACCACCACCACCACCACCGCCTCAACCCACCACCATCACCACCACCACCACCACCACCACCACCACCAACAACAACAACAACATCATCATCATCATCATCAACAACACAACAACAAACAGCAGCAAAAACAACAACAAACACAACAACAACCCACCACACAACCACCACCACCACCACCACCACAACCACCACCAACACAACTCACCATCACCACCACCACCACCACAAAAACCACCACCACTACCACTACCACCAATCTACCACGGCACCACACCACCGCCACAACCACCACCACTACCAGCAGCACAACCCACCACCACCACCACCACCACCAAACCACCACACCACCACCACCACCGCCACCACCACCACCAGCACCACCTCCACCAACCACCGCCACCACCACAACTCACCACCACCACCACCACCACAAACCACAACCACACCACCACCAAACCACCACCACCACCACCACCACCACCACGACCACCACCACCACAAACCACCACACCGCCACCACAACCACCACCACCACCACCACCACCACCCCAACAAACCACTACACCACCACCACCGCCGCCACCATCACCACCACAATCCACCACCACCACCACCATCACTGTCGTCCTCGTTGACGCTCCCCGCCGCCGCCGCACGCCGCCGCAGGCGCCGGCGCCGGCCCAGAAAACAAAATCGTCGTCCCCGCCGCCGCCGCCGCCAGCTGCCGCCGACGCAGGCGCTGACCCGAGGAGAGGGAAAGAGGAGAAATAGGGGAAAAATGGGGGGAGGGGGAGGGTTCGAACCCCTCCCCCCCTTCGTCACGGGAAAAAGAGAAGGGTTCGAACCCCACCCCCCCCATCCAGGGGGGGGGGTCCGGTTCCAACCCCCCCCTCCCTCCAAGCGACCACAGAACGCGCTTTTTCATAGATATTTACATATACACACAAGTACATATGTGTAGTTAGGTCTGCACACACTGTGTATGATCTGTCCCGTCCTGCGTTTTCTTCCTGGCTGACCCTTATGTCTCTCTCACTTGTCCTCGCTTCTCGCTTCTCGCTCCTCTCGACTACCTCCTCCTGCTGGGGGCTCTGCAGGACCTTCGAGCTGTTCAGGGCCAGCGTGGGTGGATATTGAATATGGAGTGGGCAGGCTTGGAGTGCGGAGGTCTCTTGGGGATCTTCCTGGAGTGCGCTAGGGCTGCCGCGGGTCTCGCTGGGGGGCGTCTTCGCGTCCTGGTGCTCTTTGAAGGCCCCCTTGGGCCGTCTTGGAGCTCTCTTGCGTCTCTCTTGGTCGCTTCCGGAGACAGCACAAACGCAGCCCGAGGATCCAGCCGGCCGATGAGCGCGCGGCAAGCAGCCGACTCAAGAGCAGGGCTGAAGTGCCAAGATTCAGAGATCGCTGAAATTCCGCAACCCAACAAAACGTTCCAACTCACCTTCCTCCAATCTCCTCCATCCTCCCTCCTCAATCTCCTCCTCCTCCTCCTCCTCCTCTCCTCCTCCTCCTTCCGCCTCCTGCCTCCTCCTCCTCCCCCTCTCCTCCCTCTCCTCCTCCCTCTCCTCCCCTCCTCTGCTCCCTCCTACTCCTCCTCCTCCTCCTCCTCCTCCTCCCCGCCTCTGCCTCCTCTTCTCTTTCCTCTTCTCCTCATCCTCCTCTCTTTCATACTCCCCTCCTCCTCCTCCTCCTCTCCTCGTTAGCTCGTAGCTCATAGCTTGTAGCTGGTGGTATTGGGTCCGTCCAGGAGGCGCCATCCCTTGCTGCTGCCCTGCTCCTGCTCCTGCTCCTGCTCCTGCTCCTGCTCCTGTTCTGCTCCTGCTCCTGCTCTGCTCCTGCTCCTGACTCCTCCTCTCTCCTCCTCCTCCTCCTCCTCCTCTCCTCCTCCTCTCTCTCCTCCTCCTCCTCCTCCTCCTCCTCCTCCTCCTCCTCCTCGTAGCTCGTAGCTCGTAGCTCGTAGCTTCTAGCTGGTGGCATTGGGTCCGTCCAGGAGCTGCCATCCCTCCTCCTGCTCCTCCTGCTCCTGCTCCTCCTGCTCCTGCTCCTCCTCCTCCTCCTCCTCCTCCTCCTCCTCCTCCTCCTCGACGTCGGCTACCTGGGGCTCCCGCGTTCGGGGCGGTTCCGAAGCCGAAGAGCACAGAGGGCCCAAAGAGATGGCAGCGCGCGTGCAGAGCGACCTCTTCGCGTCCGCGGCCGACGCGGGCCACGGCTTTGCCCGGAGTGCCTCGGAGCCCGGGGCCCGTCACGCCGAGGCGAGCTCGCTGGACGGGGGCCGCGACTGCGCGGGCCGCAGACGCTCCTGGACGCCCTGGGCGATGACCTCCATGCTCGTGGAGCGCCATATGTGGCCGTACCCGACGGCGAAGGCCCAAAAGCAGACTGCAGCTGCCAGGGTGACCCTACCGTCGAAATCGAGAGTAAGGATGGGTGCCTTCCCAACTTGCCAGCGCTCGGACGTCCACTCCACGTGCAGTGGTCGGTTTCGTGCGCGCGTTTCGTTCGCATGTGCTCCAAGGTGATCCTCGATGATCGATGAACCTCGCCGAAGTAGATGCACACGCCCGAGCGATGCCATGCCAAAGGTACCATTGCATCCTTGCCTCCTCGGTCCATCATTACCCCTTTCGATGGACAGCCCCGCTCGAGAAGCTTCGACAGGGGCGTCCAGGGGGCTTGCATCCTCATCGCGCATCCTTGCTCGCAATTTTTGTTGACTCTAGGCAGGACTGGCCTCTGGTGCGCGGCCTCCAGCGGCCGCTCAGGGCCCGCACCTCCAGAAGGTCACTCCCGCGAGGGGCCGCTCCTGACGCGCAGCCGAGAACTGCGCCAACAAAAACACTGGCTCTGGGAGCTCCGCGCGGACGACGCGCCTCCCCCCACGCCCCTGTCGGCGCGCCCCGCGCTCCAGAGGGGAAGGGGTGCGTGGAGGTGGTCGGGGATCTTCTGACCCAGGTCCATCCAGACCTGGGTCGGCCAGGCCCTGCAGGATCCTGCAAGATCCTGCACCCAAGCCCAGGTCAATGCGAGGGGTCCTGCAGGATCCTGCAGGTTCCTGCACACAAGCCCGGATCACTGCGACCCGGGCCCTACAGGATCAGGAGGAGGAGGAGGAGGAGGAGGAGGAAGGAGGAGGAGGAGGAGGAGGAGGAGGAGGAGGAGGAGGAGGAGGAGGAGGAGGCGGAGGGAGGAAGGAGGAGGAGGAGGAGGAGGAGTAGGAGGAGGAGGAGATGAGGGGGGGGAGGAGGAGGAGGAGGAGGAGTAAGAGGAGGAGGAGGAGGAGGAGGAGGAGGAGGAGGAGGATGGAGGAGGAGGAGGAGGAGGAGGAGGAGGAGGAGGAGGAGGAGGAGGAGGCGGGAGGAGGAGGAGGAGGAGGAGGAGAGGAGGAGGAGGAGGAGGAGGAGGAGGAGGAGGGGAGGATGGGAGGAGGAGAGAGGTAGGAGGAGAGGGGGGGGAGGAGGAGGGGAGGAGGAGGAGGAGGAGGAGGAGGAGAAGGAGGAGGAGGATGAGGGAGGAGGAGGAGGAGGAGGTGGAGGAGGAGGAGGAGGGGTAGTAGGAGGCGGAGGAGGAGGAGGAGGAGATGGAGGAGGAGGAGGAGGAGGAGGAGGAGGGGGAGGAGGAGGAAGGAGGAGGAGGAGGAGGAGGAGGGGGAGGAGGAGGAGGAGGAGGCAGGAGGAGGAGGAGGAAGGAGGAGAGGAGGAGGGGGGGAGGAGGAGGAGGAGGAGGAGGAGGAGGGGGAGGAGGAGGAGGAGGAGGAGGAGGAGGAGGAGGGGGAGGAGCGCCCTGGCTGACCCCCGTTTGCATTGACCCCCGTCTCTTCAGCCCAGAGGCGGGGAGCGGGGCCCAGCGCCGACCCAGGAGCCCTACCCGCGCGAAGACTCCCGAGCCTTCTCGGCGGGTCATCGCGACGGCCCGCGCGTTGGCTTCTGGCACGGCGTGCTGATCGCCCGACCTCTGGCGGCCGGCCGCTCCTCGATAGCCGGATCGTTCCAGGTGGGCCGACGCTGGGCCGCTGGCGGCGCTCCACCTCGAGCGTCCGCGGAGGGGTCGCAGCTGCGTCGACGCGGCACGAGCCTACCGGGATCGCAGTGGGGGCTGGCTGAGGGGAGAAGGGGGTTGTCGGCGGATGCCAAGGTGGGCTAGATATGGCCAGACCCAGCTCCTCAGCGAGCTGCACGTGCCCGGAATGGCTCAGGGGGGGCAGCGATCCGTGCTAAGCGACCCCCTCGTCCCCCGAGCTGACCCCGCGCCGATCCCAGTACCGCATGCTCAGTCCGTTTTGGCAGGTCTTCCAGATGAGGGTCACGACCATGCCGAGCGTGCCCGCGAGCCAGATGCCCACCACGCCGAGGCGCACGGGCCAGATGGCGAGCAGGTAGGCCCCGATCAGCCGCACCGCCACCATCGACACCAGCTTCACCGTCGAGGCCCGCCTCTTGAAGGGGCCCAGGGGGACACAAACCAATGCACAAAAGTTCCAGTACCTCCAATAATTTCCCGCATTCCCTTGATGCTCCTCTACCCCCCCACCGTTCCCATGTTCTTCCACATTTTCATGACCATCTGGTGAACGTGTTCTTATTCGGCGCTTCGACATTGGGCGGAAGGGCGGGGAGGTGGGGGGGTCTGGCTCCACACCTCGGCTTCGTTCGAATGTTTGCAACAGCGCGTCCTGTGGGGGACCGGCTCCACCTACCCAAAACAGGCGCCAAACACAGCCAAGATCCACTCCAGGAGGTGCGAGGGCCCACGCCGATCGGCAAAACAATGAATCAGAAAAAGATGACCTACGTATGTTTGTGTTCGTGCCGATGCCGCCCTCCAGACCTCTGGAGGCCGAGGCCGCGCAGAGCGCCCTCCAGCACGGTCTGCCACGCGTCGAGCACGGCGAACGGGGCCATCACCAAACACAGTCGCGCAAACAGCGCCACGACGGCCTCGCGGGTGCTGCCAGAAGTGCCCCATGGCCCAAGGTGTCCCCCCTAGGAGGGCGCCAACCATCATGAAAAACGCCCTCCTGGCTTGGCCATGAACGCATGTGCACCGATCATAAGAAAGAGCGTGTTCTACCGCTGCTGGCGGAAAACCGAGGGGGGTCACTGGGGTTTCCTAACCCGTCCCCCCCCTCGAAAACCTGGGGGGGGTTACTACCGGTTCGAACCCTCTTTCCCCCCCCCCAGTCCATCATGAAAAAGGGGGGGGTCACTACCGGTTCGACCCCCCCCTTTCGAAAACAGGGGCGGGCTCACTACCGGTTCGACCCCCCCCCTCCCTCGAAAGCCGAGGGGGATCACTTCCGGTTCGAACCCCCCCACCTCCAGAAAACCAAGGGGGGGTCAATACCAGTTCGAAAACCCCCCCTTTCGAAAACCGGGGGGTCACTACCGGTTCGACCCCCCCCCTCGAAAACAGGGGGGGGCTCACTACCGGTTCAACCCCCCCCCCCCTCGCCGCCGGCAAACACTTCCCGCTCCTCGGGACGGTTGGACAGTGGTGGGGACAGTGAGACAGTGGTGGGGACGGTGGTGGTGGGGACAGGGGTGCGTGGACAGCGGGACAATGGTGGGGACAGTGGGACAGTGGTGGGGACGGAAGTGGTGGGGACAGTGGTGAAGGCGGTGGTGAGGACAGTGGTGGGACGTGGGAACAGTGGGACAGTGGGACAGTGGGACAGTGGGACGGTGGGGACAGTGGACAGCACAGTGGGACAGCGGTGGGGACAGTGGGTACAGTGGGACAGTGGTGGGAACAGTGGGGACAGTGGTGGGGACAGTGGTGGTGGGGACAGTGGTGAGGGCGGTGGCGAGGACGGTGGTGGAACAATGGGACAGAGGAATAGTGGGAACAGTGGTGGGGACAGTGGGGACAATGGTGGGAACAGTGGGACAGATCAGTGGGACAGCGGCGGGGACAGTGGGACA